AGAGGTTTGAGATGCTGTTTATCCCCGTCCCTTCTTTCTGAATGCTGTCCATGACACCCTGATGCCTATAAACACTGAGAAACACCTCAAACTGACACAGATTTAGAGGAATAGTTAACCCTAAACGAAGATGTGTTCTGAGATCAGGATGAGTTTGTTTCTTCATCAGGTTTGTAGAAATGTAGCACTGCATCAGTGTCTCAGCAATGGATGCTCTGCAAGTGAATGGGTGCCGTCAGAATGAGAGTCCAAACAGCTGATAAAAACATCACAATAATCCACAGCACTCCAGTCCATCAGTTAACATCTGGAGAAGTGAAAAGCGTTAAAGTTTAGAGCTGTTTAAACGCTGCTTGATCTGTGCAGATTTCTCTCCTGATTCACACCAGAACACTTTTTCACTGGAGGAAGCATTATTATGGATTATGGACTCTATGGTATTTTAGTTAAAAACGTCTTAATGCTGGATGTGTTTCAGCTTTTGTCTTCTCCAGATGTTAACTGATGGACTGGAGTGCTGTGGATTACTTGTGGATTATTGTGATGTTTTTATCAGCTGTTTGGACTCTCATTCTGACGGCACCCATTCACTGCAGAGCATCCATTGCTGAGACACTGATGCAATGCTACATTTCTACAAACCTGATGAAGAAACAAACTCATCCTGATCTCAGATGAGCACATTTTTAACACATTTTCAGTTTTGGTTGAACTATTGCTAATAATATTTTTGTGGCACAAGCGACCTGTCAGTCAAACTAAGCAGAGAACGTCATATTGATGTTATATAGAGTATATTGTGAATCAACATTACAGAAAGACTAATGTTTGTGAGCGGCTGTTGTCTTGTTGTAAAGGGCTTCAGTCGACGGCTCTTCTAGAGTTTGGTCCTTCATAACTAATATATCTTTCTAATCATGTCAGGGGCTCTTGAAATGGTCCTGCTGCAGGAGGTGTGCTGGATTTAATATGCGCTGCACCTAAAAGCAGCTCTGTGTGTTTTGAATCATCTCTTACGCTGTTTCAGATCCGTTTCTGAAGCTGCACGCCTTTAATTCTGGCATCACAAGATCAAATCATTGATTCTGGATCTGTTTTATTTTCCATCTTTATTCTCTCATTCTAAACTTGACACGTGGCCACATTTGTAATAGGCAGCACTGAATATTTAGAGTTGCTCCTCACTGTATGTGCTCAGAAATCCTCTGTACTCGCTACAGTCTCTGAGCTGCTTGCTTTGGTGTGTTTTAAGCTAGTTTTAGAGCGCTTGAGCGATTGTGTGAGAGTTTTTTGGCTGATTCTGAAACCTTTTTGTAATAAAAACGGATCTTGTCATGCTTGGCCTTTTTCATGATGGAGTTTACTGTGACTTTACTGTGGTGAAAATATCCCACTGCTGCAACTAAACACACACAGCACTCAAACCAGCACATTAATGCTGTTTTATCCTAACAGTATGTGTGGTTTTATTCAGAAATGTATCCTTACAGAAGATACTGTAGTGATTTAGAACCGTACATCAATATGCTGCTTATGAAAAATAGTGTTTATTTTTTTTTTACAGATTTATTATAATTTACTACCATGGCTTTTACTAAAATTCTAATGCTTAAAACATACATTTGTGGTTACCACAGTTTTACTACAAATACTATGAACTATGGCTACTGTAGTAAAACCACGGTTAATTTTCCCAGTCATAGTGCTACTTCTGTTGCTCAAAATTGCATGTATTTTTTATTTTTTTAATCCAGGTAATTTTTATTTAGTATTTTTTTTTGTTTGTATTGCAAAACATAAATACATATGAACAGGAAGATCAAATTTCTATATAATAAATAAATATAATACAACAACATAAAAGTAGAACATGCGTATACACAAATCGAAGAAAAGCGTGCTATTAAAGTTAATCATTTTTAAATAAACAAGTCAATTAGCTTTTAAAAGCGTGACTTTTATTTTGTGTCGCGGTCCGTCATTTCCGGTGCTGAGCGGTCTCCATGGTGACTGACCGACTGACCGTTGAGAGTCTGAGGAGATTAGTGCAGTGTACGGTAGTTAAGTTAGTTAGTTAGTTAGTTAGTGAGTGATTACTCATCATGGCCAAAAGTGACGGTGGCTCGTATTTCAGGAGAACCAGTCTGTTCTGGATGGTGGTCGTGTCGGTTTCTTTGAGTTTTTACACGGTGAGCTGAATCTGATGAATTATTCCGTCATGAAGCGCCTGAGGAGAATCACAGAAACGCCGAATAATAGTCAGAAAAGCCGTTTGACTTCTGAATTAAACGAAATGTCTGCAAATGTGCAAACTCGTGGTGATTAGGAGAAAATAATCAGATCTGGACCGTTTTGTAACCGTTATTGAACTTTACCTCAGTTTCAGTAACGTTACATGAACTGAGCAAAGTCCGCTCTCGTTATTACAACCATAACCATAACCACATGCTAACATGAGAATTGTAGTAAAAGACATGGTAATAATAATAGTTATATATAT